TATATATATGAAACATATATATATATGAAATATATATATATATATTTCAATTTTCAAAGATGAAATGCCAACATTAAAGAGCTCATTTCTTCCGGCTTTTTTCTTTTTGCTTATGTGGGGCTGAGGAATCGAACCCAGGGCCTCTGGCATGCAAGGCGAGCGCTCTACCACTGGGCCACCTTCCCAGCCCCTGAAAATTGAAATATTGATCCAGGCACTGTGGCATACCTTTAGTTCCTGCTGAGTAAGTAGGATCACTTGAGCCCCAAAATTTGAGGCCAGCCTGAGTAACATTAGCAGAACCCTGTTTTCAATGAACAAAAACAAAACATTAGGATTTTAGATATTTTTTAATTGGATTAGACCTTCAGCAGCTACCAGAACATAGGTTAAAATGTCTGTCTTCAAACCTTGATTCTCAGGTGGGCCCTAAGCGTGTTGAATTTGACTGGCTGGGCACTTTGTGTTGCTTTCTGTGAGAGAGCTGCATTGGTCTAGAAGTGCTGGGTACACAGGAGACCCTGTTCCTAGGCACCTGGAGTGTGCTGCTGCCTGGCCTGCGGAGGTCTTCCCTGAGCAGCTTTCCATGCCCCCTTGGGAAGGTGTTTCTTGGTTTCATGACACAGGCATAGTCATTAACTCATTCACTCTCCCCTGCCCTGAGTAGAGTGATGGAGCTGAAAGTTCCAAGCTTGTCACAGCCAGCTCCTGCCTGATGCTGTTCAGGGTCCACCAAAAGTCAGCTCACTAGAACACGAGGTGTTCCTATCACTTGAGAAAGAAAGTTCAGGGGATTTAGGCACCGTGTGCTAGGAAGATTGAATATTATAACCTAAAGATGCATCCGTTAGCCCATACCATGTAGAAAGTTGCAAGGTTTAGGAGCTCTGTGGAAGGAATCAAGGATGAAGACCAAATAACTATGAAGTTATTATATCCCAGTATTGCTGTAAAACAGAAGCCACATTGCATAATACACTAATTTTCTTTAGTAATAGTACTTGAATTAAATCATTTCCTGAGCATATGATACTACTAAACAAGACTCACAAATATATAGCCCCATCTGCTAGAACATGTTTTCTGTAATCAGAAAACCAAAACACATTCTAAAATACAGAGCAATTATTTTTTAACATTTTAAAATAGACCTAATTTTGCCAGGTGCTGGTGGCTCATACCTGTAATCCTAGCTACTCAGGAGGTTGAGTTTTGAGGATCACAGTTTAAAGCCCAGGCAGAAAAGTCCGGCAGAAAAGTCCATGAGATTGCTACCTCCGATAAGCCAACAGAAAACCAGCAGTGGTGCTATGACTCAAGAGGTAGAGTGCTCTCCTTGAGCTGAAGAGCTGAGGGACAGCGTCCAGGCCCAGACTTCAAGCCTCATGACCAACAACAACAACAAAAAAACATGGGCCTAATTTTGAGCCTATATCCAATGACTATTTTAGATTAGCTTGCCACATCCATTTAAGAACAAATTGTTGGGGTTAGGTATGTGGCTTAATGGTAGAGTACTTGCCTAGTTTATGTGAAGCCCTGGATTTGATTCCTCAGCACATCAACAAAAAAAGGCCGGAAGTGGCCCTATGGCTCAAGTGGTAGAGTGCTAGCTTTGAACAAAAGGAGCTCAGGGACAGTGCCCAGGTCCTGAGTTCAAGCCCCAGAACTTGGCAAAAAAAAAAAAAAATTGTTGATTCCATCCTAAAGCCTGAAATCTGCCTTACACTACATATGTAAATTTTATATGTGTAAGTAGTGCTTTAAAAAAAAATCAGAATTGGGGCTGGGAAGGTGACTCAGTGGTAGAGCGCTTGCCTTGCATGCATGAGGCCCTGGGTTCGATTCTTCAGCACCATATAAGCAAAAAGAAAAAAGCCGGAAGTGGCGCTGTGGCTCAAGTGGTAGTGCGCTAGCCTTGAGCTGAAGAGCTGAGGGACGGTGCCCAGGCCCAGAGTTCAGGCCCCACAACTGGACCCCCCCCCAAAAAAAAAAACAGTTTTAAATCAGAATTTAAAGAGCTAAGGAAAAGATAAGTATGCAAATGAAATCTCAGAGTAACAGCACCTTTGATTCATAAGTGGGGGCATGGAAGGGGAGGAATGCAAGTATCAGACTCCATGGTTGTCTGTCCCTTTACTAGTGTGCTTCAGTAAAAAGATGAAATTTAAAAGCAAAGGTGTCAAACAAGATGACAGAAAAGCCAAGTTTTAAAACATGTATTTATGAACAGAAGCTCACAGCTTAGAGTAGTGCAAGCCACGTTGACTTGTGACATGGAGAGAACCTGAGCCAAATCAAACGACATGCTGAGAAAGCAAAGTTAACGGTCTGCAGAAAACCAACAACAAAGACAAAGAATGGCTAAGTAAAAAAAGATTATTCATAAGCCATTCTGAGTTCAGAAAACATTTCTTCATAAAAATAGTGATGGAATGACTTGTGTGTCAAAAGTTCTCAACTATTCATTTTGGGGTTTGGGGATTTAGCTCAGTGGAAGAGTGCTTGTCTGGCAAGTGCAAGGTCCTGAGTTTGGGCCTCAGCTCTGGAAAAAAAAAAAAAACGCTATAAAAGATCAGTAGTGGGGCTGGGAAGGTGGCTCAGTGGTAGAGTGCTTGCCTTGCATGCATGAGGCCCTAGTTTGATTCCTTAGCACCACATAAGCAGAAAAAGCCTGAAGTGGTGTTGTGCTCAAGTGGCTGAGCGCTGGCCTTGAGCTGAAGAGCTGAGGGACAGTGCCCAGGCCCAGAGTTCAAGCTCCACAACCAACCAAAACAAAAAATAAGATCAATAGTGTTCATTTTAGCACAAATGGGCCAGGTCATTGCCATGAGTAGAGCAGGCATGAGACAGGGGAAAGGAGGGGCTGTGTGGGCTAGAAATCCTGGTTCACTGCCTCACCCTAACCCCCTGTGGCCAACCAAGTCTTCCACTTGGCTAGAGTATAGTGGAAATTGGGGTGTTATATAAAATAGCCCAGTTGTTGACAGACCCCAAGTTACAAATGCTATGTAAGATGTTCTCTTAGCTATGAGTTTACTACTGTTCATTCTAGAGAAACCAAGTGCTTCCATGTTTGGCGCAGTTACAAGACAGTCCTCTACCAGTCTTATCTCCTGTCTTCTGTTTGCGTCTCTACTTTTCCCACTCACTGGGCCTGCAGGCAGTCACACATCATTCTGACACCCTAATACAGATTTTGCCCAGCAAACCGCAGAAAACTTGATATGTCCCCTGGGTGCAGCCTGTTCGTGGGGGTCTCACCGGAGGCCTCCTGACAGGATTCCTTTCCTTCAGCCAGCTGCAGGGCCACCTGATCCTGCAGGCCTGTGACTAATCCAGCCTCTCTTAATCCATACATATCTGATAACTGCGAAAGGAAGGTAGAGCACCCTTCATCCCCTCATTATCCATTATTCCAGTGTATCCACTAGATTTCTTCTAATTGAAAGTACTTATGCTCTGCAGTTTGTACATGTACATGCTTCAGTGTGGGGAATCCTGAAGTCTCCATTTATTCCTCTGCTGCTCTTGAAGCCACACAGAATGTGTAACAGGCTGAGGGAAGGTAAAACCAGGTCAGGCTGCTTCTTGAGAAAGGGCAGGGGTGGGAAGAAGGAGCAAATTCTTACACTGCTTCTGGCATTCCTTCCTGTTAATACCTAGTAGGAAGGAACCTGGAAGCTGGGATGATTTAAGCCCTAAGAATAAATGTGATTTAGTGACTTAGAAACTGACCAACATAAGCTAGCAGGTGCTGAACAGTCTGGAGCAGCTTATGTTTATCAGCCTGATTAAACTTCATAGCAATCCTATAAATTTTCGATCAGGTTTTTAGGTCTGAAATCTTAACATGCTGATAGCTTTCAAGCTTTCTGACCACATCACTAGTGTATTTTACATACATAGTGACTGGTATGCACACATGACAAACACTTCACATTTGCTTTTTTATGAATACTACTCTGGAATAGTTCCTCTCTATTTCTTTTGCAGGGCTGGGGAATCAAACCTAGGACCCAGCACATGCTAGGGAAGTTCTCTAGCATTGCAGTACATCTCTATTTCTTCTCTATTTCTAAAAAAATGTTTTCTGGGCCACTTAAACTGATGTCAGATCTTAACGGCCTATAACTACAGTCTGAGCAAACAATGAACAGTTTACTTCACACAACATGATACATGTGTGTACTGACTAAATGACACACTGTCAAGTTTGTAGACTCTTCTGTTTATGATTACTCAAGAGTAAAATACTGTAATTCATTTGGGGATTTTATGGAATCTGCCTGTATCAGGCAAATGATAAATTGTAAAATGACCTCATATATGTTACTGTGAAAGAGCCAGGGAAACTTGGTGGGAGAGCCCTTAACTGTTTCATCCAGACCTAGATACTGCCTTTATTCAGTCTGCTTATACGCTGGCTTCCAGCTTCCCTTTCAGGATAATCCAGTCCATCCTTTTGGCTAGTGGGAGCAGGCTCTTTTGTAGTTTGAGCTGAAATATGTTTCCATGTAATTTCCTTGTCTTCTTCCTTATCAGATCCCTTGAATGCTTGAAAATAATCTGAGTGCCAAAGTTGGCACTCAGCGCCCCTAAGAGGACAAGACCCAACAGCCATCAACAGGTGCTTCTGAGCCTGTTGACAAGGTAACCTGTCCTGTGCTCATCCCCCAAACAGAACCTGATGCACTGCACAGCCTTTGCAACAGCAGATGAGTATCATCTGGGAAACCTGTCTCAGGAGCTGACTGCCCACGGATATATCGAAGTAACAAGCTTGCCTAGAGGTACACATGCTTGAACCTGGTGCCAAGTATGTTAAAATATGTTAAGAGAATAACTTTTCAGTGACAGTGTCTTAAGTATGCCTTTATTTGCATTTTGTTTTTTATTGAAAAATTGTCAAAAGTGGTGTCAAGCTGGGCACTGGTGGCTCATGCCTGTAATCCTAGCTACTCCTGGAAGCTGAGATCTGAGGATCACATTTCAAAGCCAGCCCAGGCAGGAATGTCCTTGAGACATCTCCAATAAATGACCAGAAAGCGGGAAGTGATGCTGTGGCTCAAGTGGTAGAA